TCCCAAATGTCTGAGGTGATCTTTCCACGTGTCCGAGTAGATAATTATGTCGTCGAGGTAAGCTAGACAGAATTCTCGCCCACTAGCCGGTGAGGACTTCTTGGCTCATAAGTTTTTGAAACGTGCAAGGCGCGTTCTTTAGACCAAAAGGCATGACTCGAAATTGATATTGACCTCCGTCAGGAGTTGCAAAAGCCGTGTATGGTTTGGATTCTGGATCCATAGGAACTTGCCAATAGCCACTTTTTAAATCAAGAGTGGAGAAGATTTTGGCTCGTCCGAGATCTTTTAAGGCTTCATGTATTATCGGAAGTGGTTGTGCGGCATCTCGAGTGATGGCATTCAATCTTCGATAGTCTATGCAAAACCGATTTCGTCCGTCTTTCTTCTTAACGATGACGATTGGGGAACAGTAATTCGAAGTCGTGGGTTCTATTACTTCATCCGCAATCATTTCCTGAATTTGCTGTTGAATGATTTTCTTCTTTTCATCGGAGTATCGATAGGGAGGTACTAGGAATGGTTGTTCCGAAGTCAAGTGTATCCGGTGTGAGATTCCTCGTGTTTGCCGCAATCTTTCTCCTTCCTAGAAGGTGACCGCATGTTGTTGCAGTAGTTCATGGAACCGATCGGCGTATTCAACGGGAAAATCGTGTTGGAGAGTGTCCCAGTGTATTTGCTTTTCTTCCGTCCTTGTCGCATGTTGGGGTTGTTGTAGAAACACTCGCTTGCGTTCCTTGAGACCATAATAAATACATTTATGGAAGTGATCATGTATAACTTGATTCTCATTTAACCATGATTCACCTAGGACGATATCCTCGTGTAAGTCATCAGTGACGAAGAACTCACTAGGGACTTCGTTATTTTGAATCCTGATGTGAAGTGTGATCGGTCCTTTAAGATCAATTGTAGCTCCTCCGGAAGCTTGATAGGCTATCATGGTGGTTGTTGTCAGCGATTGTTGGTCTACCTCGCTCAGCAGACGTCCTTTGATTAAGTTATGGGAAGAACCGGAATCGATGAGTGCGGCTACTCTTTGCGAACCAAGTGTGACTTCCAATCGTGGCAAACATTCGTTTTTGGTACTCGTGGAATTTACCGTGGCGGTGGTCTCGGAACCTGACCTGAGTCGATCGGTTCTTCTTTGGCCACCGCCGCCAATCGGTTTCCCTGGTCGGGAGTCTTCCCTCTACTTATATAAGTTGGGCAGTCCCGATGGAAATGGTATTCTGGGCAATACCAGCATTTTGGTGGCGATCTACCCAGAGGTTTCATCGTAGTGTTCCTTCCGCTTTCGATCTTCCCCGGGTCTACCGATTTCTTCATGTCCGTTTTGCGAATTTTAGCCGAGTTCTCTGCGAGGTCATCGTCTTCCATCTCTTCGGCCCAACTGATTAATTCGTCGAACGTTGTTGGGCGTGCTGCTCTAAGTAGCCTTTTAAGTTCGGGTTTTACTAGCGAAATTAAAAGATTGACTAGCTGTGGTTCAGTCCGGTCAGGAAACAGTCGACGTGCCAACCAGTATTTCTCTTGGAGAAAGATGCCTACCGGTTCTCGTCCGTCTTGTTTGCATGAATATAATTTCGCACTTAGATGAATAATGGTGTTGTTGGTCTATCGGTACTCTCGGAGTTTCGTTTTCCGCTTCGGTGATAATTCTCCGCGGAGGTATCACGATAGGTGGATCCATGGGATGGATTTCTTGTTCCGGTTCGGGATTGTTGGGCGCCATTTGTACTCTTCGCTCCCGTGAAGGCGGTTGCGAATGCGATCGCCGTTGAGCTCGTGTGGTAGGCATGGTTCTCCTGGTCTGAGAATTCGTGGATGTCTTCTGAGATCCTGCTCGAAGGTTTTTCGAGTGGCCCCACGTTGGGCGCCAAAATTGTTAACGGTCAATAATATGGATGATTTTGTTAAGAACAATTCTGAGGTTGTCCAGCTTTTTTTATTGCTTTACAAAGTTACGGGGTGCCGAACAGTTCTATTGACCGCCGTTTTACGCGTTCGGAACGCCTTCGAGGTTCACCCTTCACGTCTGGTCTTCTGGTGGTCGAAGGTAGCGGTTGGACGTCGATTTTTCGTCTCAGAGTTTCCGGTGTGAGAGGTAGTGGACTAATGACCGCCGGGATTGGTGTCCTCTGGACGGCCGGACGGTGGTACCGCCAAAATGGCCGCGTGTCGGCGAGTTCGCAGACCGGGGCAAAGGTGGTTTTCCCGGCAGGGTGTAGGCCCGACGCCGAGGAGTAGTCACCAAGTCCTACGAACTGAAGACCTTGGACTTAGCGTCAGTCGAGTCCATCTGGAGGACTCGCCGTCCGGACCTACACCCTACTGGGAAAACCACCTTTGCCCCGGTCTGCGAACTCGCCGACCCGCGGCCATTTTGGCGGTACCACCGTCCGGCCGTCCAGAGGACACCAATCCCGGCGGTCATTAGTCCACTACCTCTCACACCGGAAACTCTGAGACGAAAAATCGACGTCCAACCGCTACCTTCGACCCCCAGAAAACCAGACGTAAAGGGTGAACCTCGAAGGCGTTCCGAACACGTAAAACGGCGGTTAATAGAACTGTTCGGCACCCCGTAACTTTGTAAAGCAATAAAAAAGGCTGGACAACCTCAGAATTGTTCTTAACAAAATCATCCATATTATTGAGCGTTAACACCCCGTGCGCCGGCATCCTAGCCAGCCTAGCCGGAAATGTCCTTTTTCGGGCGCACGTACGTCCTGTTTCACGTCTCACGCACAATTCTCGCCGGAAGCTACATTTTTGTATTACGTGTTTCCGCCGCCATACCAGTTCGACTCTACAGTTTTCAGGTTTAATCAAGACGACGCGCATCGAGCAGTCTACTGGCTAGAATTTCGACTCCGCTTGAGCTCTGGCACTCCTTCCAACGAATACACAAAGAGTGCACGTATCCTTGATAACAGAGTTCAGCTCGCAGGCTGAACGTTGTCCTTGGAAGCCGTGAATAGGTCCTTGGCGCCATCCAACTCGAACAAAGTCATTGGCCGAGATTCGTGGGTCCATGTACGTGCCAGCGCTATCCGGAAGCGAGCATGCTCCAGATAGCTGAACGCGGCTCAGGTGGAAGACGCTTCTACCGTGCCACCAAAGTCCATATGCTCAACCGCTCCGAGCGTGCACTTTCCCACTCGGATGTATATCCGAACTTTTACCCTAATGAAAAAGGATGGATTAATAACCTGCTAATCTTAAATCCAGTAATTAATTCTAGGACTGCTGGCGCGGCTCTTGGAAATTTGCTGAGGTCAGGAGGAAGCTCAGGAGGCACTATCGGCATACGAGACACGGGGAACTGGAGCTGCGCCGGTCAGAATGGGCTGCGAGTGTGGTTGAGGGAGGCCAAGTAATCCGCACTACGACGTGATATCAATTTAGGCAATTAAACGCTTCCCATCTGCAGAGACTAAACGTGTTATCTGCTTGGCTATACTCGAACCCATCCGAAGCCCACCCTCCACTCGTCGTGGCCATTTCTGCCATCCCGTGTCTCATTTCGACGGAGCACCCCCCTCGTTCCAATCCCTCCGTACAGTCAGCGTCAAGTCGACTCAGAGCCTGGAGTCAGGACACTAAGCATACTGTCGGCCTCGTGAAACCTTGTTAGGGGCGATAGGGGTGAATGCAGTTGGCACTACAATCTCATATCGCCAACCGGAGAAGCTGTTGGACCAAATTAAACTTTAGGGCTGGCTTACATGGCGCATTATTAGAGGGTTCCTTACCCCAGTAGGATGTAGCAATGGGAACCACCCTCCTCCTACGTTCTGCTTCTACCTTTCGCTGGGGAGAATTCCGTCTTCCTCGAGAAAACTCTTCGAGTTATATCGTTCTCCTAAGTCGGATCGGCGTCCCGTGTAACAGATAAAAGTTTCAATGAAGCTCGGAATGTTTGCAACGTGTTCGGTCGGCGGAGCTCGGTGTAAAATTATGATAAAAAACAGGAGGAAAATTTGCTTTCATTTAAAAGTATTACGCGATGAAAAGTTTGCCCGAGGGTTTGGTTAAGACTAGATATACGTATGCTCGTTTCCTGTATTAGGGGGATGAAAGCTCGAAAGTTCAGAGCGCAAAATGTTCGCCGCCGAATTTCTAAGGGTCCTGGGCTCAAGGTTCACTGCTAGTATTGTTTCCTCGAGATAAGTGCTGTTCCTCCAGGCAGGATGCTTTTCTACAAGCTGAGAGCTTAACGGTGAATCGCGGGGAGGGCAGGAGGGCAGGAGGGCAGGAGGGACGAATGCGTTTCTATAGAGTGGCAGAAGATGACGTTGCCGAATCGAGTGATATATACCTGGACTCTGGCATATTCCCTCTAATTAGTCTCTCCTAATGGAAGACGCGTTAACGAGCTCCTGTTTACACTGGCGTCGTCTCATTGTCCTCCCTAACGAATCCTGCTGGCCGAGCAGGTCCAGACAATCGACTGGCAAAACAACGCCGGTCGAAGCTCTCGGACGGAGGCTGCAGTGCTGGAGATTCGGCAACAATTGGCCCACATCGAAATCAAGAGCAGAAGAAATCAGCAGCTAGAAATTCTTACTGAAAAGATCGTGGCTCCCTTTTTGCAGTGAAAATCAAAAAGCTCAGCCGAGACTCGTTGGACTGTTTTTTTTTTTTTCAAGAAATATGCAGCCAGTGGGCGGTCTAAGCTCAGACGGGACAGCGAACTAAGAGGCGTCCGTTTGCTACTTCAGCCCAATGACGATTCCCTGATTCGTATGCTCCTGCTCCACCGAGGCGCCCCGCCTGCTGGACTTGGGTTGGACTCTTCATTCTCGTGCATCTTGCACCAGGAGGCAGCCTAGGATCTCGGGCAACTCCTCCGATGCGGGTCCCTTCGGTCACGTCTCCTCAGGTTTGGCTAGCTCTGCCGGTCTGGGATATTTGACGCACGTACTGGGTGGCTTGCAGCAGCAATGGTTAGCTTCCATGAGAAGGGATGCGAACGTCATCGTCTAGCCGCGTCGCGACGTCGCGACGTCCTGCTGATTTAGAATGCACTCACCCTCCAGGGCCGAACGTGTGCGTCGGCATCAGTCGACATTTATAACGCTCCCAGCCCGGAATTATATTATAGATATACAGCACGGTAGACGGCACGCTACACCGTAGAGTGGGGTAGGGTTATAGGCCAGCGGTTATAGGCCAGATACCATCAGCCTAGGCGCTTCCAATCATTTCCCAATTAGCAGATGATTGCGTACAGTCCTCGCTAGAACCATCTACTACCTCGCGATTAGTCACAGGACTTTGGGATTTCCTGCTTCAGTTTCTGATGCCAAGTATTACGAGCTCCGACCGAGGGTCCTATGTATGGGTACCGCTCGTGTCTCATTGACAAATATTTAAGATCCAACTTAGGGGTGCGACTTGCGCTCCAATTTTAAAAGATTTAATGAATCTTTACGTTGCGTCGTTGTGTTGCAGAACCTGGCAACCTAGCCGCCGCAGCTTCTTCTTTGCCGTGGGCAATAGTAGCAACAGCAACGCAAGCGGAAGCAGGGGCAACTTCATCAGGGGAAGCGGAAGAAGTTCCTTCTAGCGGAGGAGCCCATTCGGACTTGTGGGACGAGGCAGAAATGCATAAGCAGATTGTGCGAGTGAAAATCCAAAGTGATTCTCCAAGATACTCGAAGATTCTCCGAGGACGTGAGGACGAACTTCCGCAGGCGTCACGTGGGCGCCAGCCTTCGGTGGTAAACAGGCTGGGAATCTCGTCTAAAGAAATTAGATAGGTTAAGGCTGCTCAGCACGCACCCTGCGGCTTCAGCGAAAGGCTAGCATTTCATTTGAGCAGGAACTTCTGCCGAGCGCCAAGTGCACCTTATCTCTTGGTTGGAGTCGCCAATTACAGGGCGGTAGCCAGTCACCATTGTGAACTCAAAATTTAGGTTTCACGAGAGGCTACCTCTGTAGGGAGAGACGAATAGAGAGAGAGATGGAGAAAGCTACGATACACGAGCCGAAAGATATTGGGGAGGGGTGTTATTTACTTTTTTCTTGCGATTCCATTAAATTTTCATCGGCAATGATTAGAGTTATCGGCAGAGTAAGAGAGTCTTCCGAGCCTTTCCTAATTATTATTTCGTTCGTCGAGTTTCCTATTTCGTATTTTCACGCAAAGGAAACGCTCGGTTTATTAACGTAGTACAGTCCGAAGCCAATCGCCAGCTTCATTTTATACTTGACCTTTGGTCCTCTTTATCCATTTGGGAACCTTGGACTTTTCACCAATGAGAATTCAATGGCAACCGCAGGAGGCAGGAGGACGTTTCATAAGTTTATGGAATTGTCTGGTGAAGCTGCAAGCTCTTGGGGAGGAAGCCCCGAACCACACCTTCGAGACACTAGGACGGGGGACTTTACACGATTGATCGTAGGTCCAGTTCTGTCTTAAGCGTAGCAGGTATATAGTATACTAGTCAGTAGCCCAATTAGCACTTGACCATATCTCGGGTGACTGTACGTCTGCAGACAGCGTGCACAGGCATGTGCACATGAGAAAGTGCGAGCCTAAATGTTGAGAGAATGACTCTTTTTTGTAAATACAGAATTAAACAGTCGAGAGACAGTGGCAGATGACGACCATGACGTTTTGTCAACAACTGAAGATGCAGGATGATGATGCCGAGTCTCTCTTCTCTTTCGATAATGGATCAGCGAATGAACTTCCGAACGAGAGTGCAGAATGCGATAGATACTTACTGGCAATCCTCGGATTCAGCCCTCGATTCGGATAAAGAGGAGGATTAGCAGTGGACTTGTAAAATGGACGAGTGGAGGAGAAGGAGCGCGCGTGCAACACAGGGTAGATAATAGGGACCATCGAGAGAGACTGCGTAGAAAACGGCTTCGAATTTATTTCATGAATATTTCAGCGGGGAACCTTCGTAATAAATAGCGAGCTGCAGAATTATATTCCTGAAGTGAGCCAGCGCTCGGCTAACCGACTTTGACTCTGACTCCCGTGCCAGGTTTCTTCGAGTAGTCGTGTACTCGTGTACTCTCGTAGCCTCCTGGCCCTCCCACGCAGCGACACAGCGACGCAGCAACTTACCCGACGGAACGGCTGAGCGCGGAATACTAATTGACTCGCAAACGACCAAGCATACTTCGCACAATGCATTCGCCTCCCTGCTCTCCTTCGCATTCCTTCGCATTCCTTCGCATTCAATACTTCCCATTGATCGGATGAAATTCGCGCTCCTTCGCTTCTCCTACTATACCGGTAGGCGTTGATACCTGCCGACTCGGGCGCCAGGAGAAAGAGAGAGAGAGGAGCCCCACGCTGATCGATAGGCAGGACAAAGAGGGAGAAGGGACGAACGGCTAAACTCGAGGAGAGGCGCGCGTTTCTCTTTATCCGTCTAAGGAGGAAGAGGAGAAGGATAAGAAGAAAGGAAGAAACGGAAAAACATGATCACTCTGATCTCTTGGGCTTCCTTATTCCGCGACTCGTCTTCACCTTCAGAAACCGTTACGGGGAGGCACTTGGCGACAAACGACTGCCTCGTAATGAGCAAGAAAGCGATCGTCCTTTGAGCTTCGAGAGGCTGCGTCAAGGCGAGTCCGACATTGAGATTCGCAACACGATTTACGTCCCTCGAAGACTTTTCCTTTTTCCTTCTCGAAAAAAAATCATAGAGCCAAAACAATATCGCGTTGACTCTTGGAAGGATTGTACTTGGAAGTAGCACTCTGAGGACGTGAACGGACCCAGTCGACTGGGGTAGCATCGTAACGACGAGAAGGAAGCGACTGGTGCGCGAGTGAGCGAAGGAGCAAATAGGCAAAAGCAGTGAAGCGCGCAAGCAGTAAGCAGGCGAGCAAGCAAGCACGTAAGCAAATAAGCAGGAAAGGCTATACAAAGGGTATATCGGTATATCGGTCCATCGGTGGATCGGTATGTCGGTATAACGATATATAGGAATGGCGAGCCACCTGTTACTCTTGTACCTTCAAACTCTGCGATCGACCGAAGCAACTAGGAGACGAGAGAATCTGGAGCCGCCGCTGCGGCTGCTAGACTCGAGCAGCCAGGAAGGACGTGACGCACCAGTCGAGTTCGAGTGTTGCTCGAGTCGAGAAGGAGCCAGCGACAGCTAGAGGAGCACATGTCACTAGATATAGATATGGGTACGTAGCTAAGGAATTCGCCGGCATGTATTTCTTTTTGATACAGAGCGATCGCTTTAGCGGTGCGATTTGCTTGGACGTTAAGGGAGACTCGGGTGCGAGCGACCCGACGCAACCCGACCCGATGGTCACGATAAGCTTCGAGGCTATGTAAATGATAACGATTCGAATAAAATGACGCGATGACAAATCCCAGCAGTCTTTTTATTTCCAGCTCCACGTTCAACGGTAGGTATAGAGATAACCTTTATACTCTCGCTATTCCACAGCTTCCCCCTCTTCCCGCGCCTACTGCATATCCGCCCTTTACTTCCTTACACGGCTGCGTCATAGCTTCCCTTGAGAACAATCGACGCAGGAAAGTCTCAATCCGTCCGTAGGTGTAACAGGCCAGAGGCAATGGAAAGAAGAAAGAGAGCAAGAGAAGAAGTTTTCTCAAGAAGAATCCCTGTAGGTCGAACGTCGTCCATCCGCTGTAAATTATGGCCCTAGTAAAAATGCCTGTCAAGTGTGAACTTCCGTAAAAGTTATCGCGGCTATAACGCGGACGGCCGGTTGCCCAGTATTTTATTTCTCGCAGTAACCCTGCAGCAGCCCTTCGCTCGACATTCAAAACGCATTACATTCGTTCAGTGCCTCGGTCGGCCGATCCGTCCGGTTCGCCTGAAGTTCCCTCTCTTTCACTTCTTCCCCGAGTTCCAGGGCATCCGCTGGACATCTATCCATCCGGCTGTTCTGATATCCAATTCGAGAGTTAAATAGCCTTTGAGGAACACACGATAGCCGTGATGCTATCAGCGCAGGACACGTGGCTAAGTAAAGCCGGAAGTATAAAATTCGCGAAAACGTGATCACTCAAAATCCCCACTGGGTTACCCACGAAGACTGGCGCTGACGATGATGGCGCCAGAGTCCAAGGTGGGAGACGTGGGCACGAGGGCTGACTGACAGGAGCAAGGAGCAGGGAGCAGGGAGCAGGATCGAGGGACGGATAGCGAATGGAATCAGGCTTCCCGCTCCAGGCGAGATACGTCGCTTTAACGACGGTCGTTAAGTCGACTCGGAGCGTGTACAGACGTAATGGCTCCCACGTCCCACCTTTACTTTCAGCTTCGACTAACAATGCCAGCCCGAGCTGCTGCCATCGCCGATACTCCTCGTGACCGTGTTCCTGCGACCGAGCATCCCTTATTTCAGAATGAGAGTACCGCTCTCTCTCTCTCTCTCTCCTTCCGGTTTGATCACCTTAGAGAGGTAGCAGCTTCTAGCCTCGTCAGCAGAGACGCATGGTCACTCGATGACTCCTGTGACTGGGAATACAGATTCGGACGATCCAGCTTCCACACAGAGTGACAGACACTCCGCTAATAAACAGAGTCAACTGGAGGAAGGTCGCAGTAGCTGCTGGTAGCCATTGTTCCCAGAGGAAATAAGAAAGTAACGTGAAACGTAAAACCGTGAGTGCAGTCGGATAGCGATGATAATTTAGTTAGCAAACAAGATGCGAATCGATCGGCCTGACCCAGCGACGAAGGAACCGAACGTGCCAGGGTGCGTGACTAATCGCGCGTGACGGCCACGCACGACTCATAGTTCATGCGCGGCTGCTTCGCTCCACATCGAATCCCTCGTCGTCCTTTACTGCCGCGGTGTCACTTGGTGTCCCTGTATGCCAGCCCACGTGTGCATGTGCAGTGCCCACTTACCACCTACCACTCCCACGCCTGCTATGTCTATGTACATAGATTTTTGTTCATTGTTCATTTAGCAGAAACCGTCCGGTCGGCGAGAGCAAACTGGCCGGTCGTCGGAGACGATTAATCATGCGAATGCGCCCGCGCTCGTAATTCAATCCGACTAATAAATGTATTCCATATAAAAATTCATAAATCTCCTTCTGCCCCAAAGTTGCCCCCTCGTTGCCGCGGTTACCACAGAACAAAATCGCACTACGAAGATCGATGAAGTCGACCGAAGTTATGGACACTTTTTAATGTGCAGAGATACACGCTGGTCTGTTTTTCTTTTTTTTTCTTTTTTTTCAATTACGAGACTTCCTTTGGCCTTTGCGTATCTTTAATCCGGTCGCGCCGTGTCTCTCGTGAAAAAGAGGGCACGTTTATCTGCATCTCTTGTCCGAATATCGTTTGGAGGAGGACGGATTCCTTTTGAAATAAAAAAGGTGCTACCCCTCTGATTCCAGTGCTCCCTTAGACCTGCGTAATCCTCTTTCATAGCAAATCGATAAGAAATAGTTGTATCACAAAACACACGTGGCATCGACAGTCATGGATCTTTTGTAAGATGGGCAGGGAAAGGGCTCGTCTAGATGAAAACTTAAACAAGTAGGAGCTTTCCGTGACGCGACTATTTTCAGAAATGATCTTCGACAAGGTGAAAAGAAATGGGAGAAAATGTCGGGAGTGCTTAGGAGGTTCCGTGGCTCTTCGGATTAAAGACGAAGGGACGGTAACGCAGTGAGACGGGACGCCGACAGCCATCGAGTCGAGCGTCAAAGTCACTTGGCCAAATGGATCAGTCAAGTTTCAAAAGGACGAAGCGACGAAGCGAACGGTAGCTTCGTGTTTCTTCGTGTTTCTTCGTGTTTCTTCGTGTTTATCCGGCGCCGATTGGCAGCTGGCTGCATCAGTGGGTACTGTAGGTAAATCAATAGCTATATAGCGAAGCACGACGAGCTGGCTCTGGGGAGTGAAGTCCTTCGGGAAGAAGCTGGACGGTGGTGGCCTTACTTGAACTTATGAGGAAAATTGTAAGTTTTCTGGAAATTGGTGATTCCCTGTAAAACACGGGGAGGGAGGGTGCCGGCGATTCGGCGCGACAGTCTATCCATCCCCTTGGCTCATTGACGGCATTGAGGCCTGATTAATGTAAAGGGACGGTTCTGCTGCTTACCGCCGGAAGGAATTTCAGGAAGCCTATGCGCCGAGGCCTGGACACCCAGGCTGGGCTGTGCAAGCGACTGGTACAGCATCCCAGTATCATAGGGATCGATATACGGATCGTTATTCCCAATCGTCGATATCGGATCGGACAATTGATTTCTTCCGCTTTGGCTTTGGTCGCTGTGGCGAGGTGCGCCGGCTGTTTCCGATACTCCCGATACTCGTGAGCCTGACAGGCCTCAATAAAATTCCGCTTTTCTACGTCACTCGCGCGATATACATATTTATGGAATTCCGAGTTCTTCCTTTTCCTCCGAATCTCCGACTGCTTTATTACGGAGACGAAGGTGTCGCGGTGATCTGTGATCAACCGATCATGGACCAACGGGGATGCTGCTGGAGCGAGTGCGCTAGCGCCGTTGTCACATACTGGCAGCCTTCTTATTCTTGACAACCGTCAATTGCAGGAAAGAAGTCCTGCGGGAGAAACTCAAAAGTCAAAATACCTTGAGATCCGTGGAACCGTCGACAAAGATAAATCGACAGGATGCGTGGAATGTCCTGATTGACTTTCGTTAAAATTGCTGCTTGTCCTTTTTTTCCACGTGCTCCCTCCTTGCCCTCCTGTGAAGCAGAGCAAACCCCTAATATAAGTAAGTAGTAAGTCTGAAAAGCGAGAAGTTCTAAAGGATCGCGTGACGCGCTGGTCCTTAAAACACAGCAGCATGTGCACATACGTAATTCCTCTAGAGAAGGCTGATGGACGAACACGTGAGTGGGTCCAACTGTACACGTGTATCTATAGGCACGTGAGCGTTTCGCACCCTCCGCACGCACGTTAAGCGCAACGTATCACGGGTTATTAAAGCAATAAAAAAAGAAAAAGGTAAACGGAACGCTCGGGAGGGAGCACGTGTTACCGTGGCGGGAGGAAAATAATTTAAAAAAGATCTCGGCAATTTCCCGCTGAAAGAAAACTCGCACGGGGGACACATTAGCCTCTGCGAATTTCTCATCCCCCGTCTCTCTATTCCCGTAGGGGGTGGGGAGGCAGCTTTGACGGACCCTTCCATGCTCCCCCTCCTGTACCTATAGTATCTGTGCTTTGCCCTCCTCCACCATCCCAGCATAACGGCCCGTAAAACAAAACAGCTTTGGAACACCCTTACGAAGGCACACAGCCTCCCTGCTCCCCCCGCCCCCGCCGCCCCCACTGCTTCCTTCCCCTCTCCTCCTTCAGCTTCCTGTCCCCAACTAGCTACGCCAAATACTAAGCGACGAGGACACGCGGAATCGCACAGTCCACGCTGCAGGCGTGAAATTAATTCCGAGCAGAACGACTTGACAATCGACTTATCGCAACTCACAGCTGGGAGATAGAGAGAGAGAGAGAGAGAGAGAGAGAGAGAGGCTGCGGTGCTCGTCGTTCAACAAATTAACGTCTTTCCTCTAGACTCGGGAAATTGCTTTTACGCGGTGGAGAGAAACAAGAGTGATCAGAGGCTGCGGTGCTCGTCGTTCAATGCAGGCGTGAAATTAATTCCGAGCAGAACGACTTGACAATCGACTTATCGCAACTCACAGCTGGGAGATAGAGAGAGAGAGAGAGAGAGAGAGAGAGAGGCTGCGGTGCTCGTCGTTCAACAAATTAACGTCTTTCCTCTAGACTCGGGAAATTGCTTTTACGCGGTGGAGAGAAACAAGAGTGATCTCACTTTGCGCAATTCTCCCAGCATCGAGTATCGAATTCACTCGGTTTGGTCCGACCCTCGAACTATCGGGGGCAAGGCTGGCTGAACGGTTAAGTGAAATGATGGAAAAGGTTATTCCTCTCTGCAAGAGAGCTTTCAAAATTGAAAAGTAGCTGCCGCCCGAGGGAAGTTCGGAGGACTGACCATCTGCTCCTATAATTAACTTTTATCGATTCGACTTTTCTAATTCTAAGGTGCGGTCAACTTCGACCTTGACGACCTTTTACGTCCAGAGTGACCTAAGAGGGGATTAGTTAATATGTTGATCCGACTGCGGCGATATGTGGGACGGAGGCTGAAGGAAGTAAAGGCTGGTCCTCGGGGAACGACTCGACGACTGACACGCATGCTCAAACGGGACGACAAAGGAACAGCAGGATCTCGCAGTGTTACGTTGAAGGCAGCGAATTTTCTCCCAAACTTTTCTCACTTTGCGGTCCGCCCACGTGTTTCCTCGTTTTACAGCCACGCCACGTTAGGCCAGCACGGAACGGCGCGTTTATTTGGGAAATTTAGAGGCTCAAATTTACTAAATATG